CTGATGCTGTTACTTTTACATTTTTAGCCCCTAACTATTTTTATTTAAAATTGCATAGTTACGTTTAGATCTCTGCTGTCGCCCTGCTGAGATTGACAACAAATGTTGTTTGGCACGCAGACGCTCCCCTTTCATCCAGCACTAAAGGGGTTAAAGCTCCTCTATAGGTCGGGGAGTCTGAGCAGCACAGATTTAATCAATAATTTCTATCAGCCTGTGGCCGAAAAAAAATCAGCAGGGGGTGGAGTAGGCAGGGAGTACGGCTTCGGGGGGGAGAGAGGGGTGATAGGCAATTGGGGGGTGGGGGGGTGGTTTATGAAAAAGGCTTTCGATCACGTTTCAGCTACATGAGACAAGTGGTATACATCATGATTAGGGCCTGCTCCCACGATCATAAGAACTCTATGGGGGGAGGTTTATGTCTCAGAGTGTGGTGGATTTATTGCATGGTAATTCCTACCTTTTACACATGATTACAACATCAAGAAGCATTTAGTTAATGGTCGCCGTTGTACTGCCGAAAGCAGGTTGGGCCGATCGAGAGGATCGGGGGTTGCTTGAATTGGAGACTAAAAGGGCTAAAATGCTGAATTGAAACATTAAAATGTGCATTTTGAGGACAACAGTCTTTTTCTTTTGTTTTGTTCGCCATCTATTTGATATAGCTAGATGGTTATTGTTCAGCACGTTTACAGTCTTTCTTCATATCACTTAATCTCCCTTATCCTGAATTTCCACTCAGGGATCAATAAAGTACATTTATCTATCTATCAAGTTGGCAGTTGTCTGATAGAGACTCTCTGGTTTTCGGGCAATAGTCTGGTCAACACCCAGTGGGGTATTTAATTAAGCCGTGTATTATATAACAATAATAGCTGTATTTGATAACAAATATAACATAAAAATGAAGAGTCTTGATAACATTAGCTCTAACTGATCTTTTCCATCTTTTTTTGAGTGTGCAGGACTATTCAGTTTCATTGTACATGCAATGTTTTCTATTTCAAAGATTTGAGACCTTTTTTAGCCTTTGACTGTAATTTCCTGATTTTGTTTGCATATTTTAGACCTTAATCGTCATCTCTCAATTTAGTTGCAATGTTTAAGATTGAGAGATTTTTCACTTGCTGAAACTGTCAGCCATTACTAGCTATAGGGACTCGCGATTAATCGCATCCAAAATAAAAGTTTGTGTTTACATAATATATGTGGGTGCACTGTGTATAATTATTTTGTATATATATATATAAATACACACACATACATGTATATTTAAGAAGAAAAAAAATATTTATATATATAAAATATTTATATTTTCATATAATATAAATTATACATAAATCTATTCACATATAAATATTTCTTAAATATATACAAGCATGTGTGTGTATTATGTAAACAAACTTTTATTTTGGATGCGATTAATCGTTTGACAGCCCTATCTTTTTTTCAGTTTAATATGATTTATATGATTGTTAAAGACAAAAGCCACTTGTTAAATAATCTACACTGAAACAGGCGCTCTTTATTTTCTCTGCAATTAAGAAAGTGTAGAGATTAGATAACAAATTTAAATAGCTAATAATAATTGAAAAGACCTACCCTATTTATATTTCCAGGTCTTTTTAGACTAATATTTTTCTCTCTTATTTTTCAGCTTGTAAGCGCAAGGAGCAGGAGCAGTCCAAGCTAGAGCGCAACCAGGGGCCCAAACGCACACGGCTAGTCTTCACAGACCTGCAGCGTCGCACTCTCTTGGCCATTTTTAGAGAGAACCACCGACCGACCAAAGACCTGCAGATCACCATCTCTCAGCAGCTGGGCCTTGAGCTTTCCACCGTAAGCAACTTCTTCATGAACGCTCGCCGCAGAAACGTCAACCGCTGGACCGAAGAGGGCCGCCCATCCTCCACCGGCTCGTCGGGGTCCAGCACCGCATCTCCAGCTGTGACCTGCTCCACGGCATGATGGGAAAACGAGCCGGCACAGGTTTACCTGTAGCTCCTAGAGTTTTTAATCAAGGGTGTTTTTGAATACAAATCAACAGCATATGAAACCAAAGATGAAGTCTTTAAGAGGGTGATGTCCGCAATGTCTAGATGAGACAGGCATTGATTGTAGTTTTAGCGTTGGTTATTTTAGCTTTAATCGTGAAGGAGGAGCCCAAAACATTAGGGCTTATGAAATCATTCACAAATCAACATATTGAGGGTTATGAATAGATATTGAAGCGGTTTATTTTGTAATTTGTTACAACGTCTAAAATCAGTGCAAGGTCCAAACGTTTCTGGTTTTTCTTTGTTGATCGTGACAGACGGAAAGTGGCAAAATGATATTTTTAGGGTTCTCGAGAGAGAGAAAGAGAGAGAGAGAGATGATTTTGCAACAAATGGACAATTATTGACCAAAGAAACCAAGAAGGATGCAAGCGAATATTTCAGAGATTCCTTTAAAGGGAAAAACTACTGGACAAAGAAGCTGAAACCAAAATATGAACATTTTTCAAGAGCTTGTTTTCTTTTTATACTCCTTCGTTACAAAATGCACAGGATGGTGTCGCACCCAGACAACATTAGGAAGAACTCAAAACAAGATGGTGGGGAAAGTGCAGCCGTGACACTTTTTGCAACGGACTTTAAACTTGTTTGAGTTTCTGCTGACAGAATGGCTGCAAAAAGAATCCAGAACGCTCTCTTCTCTTGCAAAATCTGATTTCAAAAATGATTTCTATAGATATGGAGATGGAGAAATCTGGTTTTTGTTTGTATTTTGTACAAATTTCAAGCACACAATCTGGCCGATGGCTGTTCGTACCGTAAAAAGCTCAAAATCTCAATGATCCTGATGAAAAATACTTACAAAAAGCTTGAATTGAATATGAAATGAGAACCACTTTGTGTATTTATAATTATTTATGTATTTATTTCTAATCTTCTAGCTATTTATTTTATTTATTTGCTAGTTACCTTCAGTATTTATTTGTTGTTTGTACGTGAAAAACGACCCTGTCACTGATAGGAGTCCCAATACCAAAGATGAATATTTGTCCTCCCTGAATGTCCAACGTTTCTCGTCTCATGACCGCTGTGTTAGTATCTCGATAGACAGACTAGCGTACCCATCCATGTTCATGCTGCATGTTTAGACCCTTTAGGCCACAGCCTGACTGAACAGATTGAGACTCAGCGTGATCGTACAGCAGCACACAAGTGGCTATGAAGTCGAGATGCTTCTATATTTAGGCTGTGTTGAACTGTGATCTCCTTACCGCAGTCCACATTTACTGTACGACGATCATACATGCTGCGCTGAAGTCTCTTGGGTGGGCAGTAGAGGGAGAGATCGTCCCCTTTTCAATGCTCTTTCTCGTTCCCCTGTGTTTAACCTTTGCAGGGCATGTAGTGAGGCCCCTTCGCAGCACGCACTTGAAAGAGGGCCCATGAAAGAGGCCATCGACTTTTGCCGACTTCAAAGAGGCCCTTTTTATCTGTGTCCTCTCGGTGGCTGGGGCCGCCGCTCAGCCAGGCCCATGGGCTTAGGGCGTTCACCAGGAGGGGTGGCAGATCAGAGGAAGGGGAGGGGTGGTGAATTGGAGTTTGGGGATGGGAATTAAAGTTTAATGAGCGACAATTGTAAGCGTGCTGTGCATAGGGCAAAGGGTGTCAGCTTGTGCGTCTTAACTCTCCAGGTCACCCTGTTGCAGCGCTAGTAGTTAACTGGGTGGACCTCTCTTTTCATGGAGATGTAAGGATTTAGGTTTTTATAATTTGCAAAATTACAGCGGTAGATGGTTAGAGGTCACTCGATGACCTGTAGCGTCCCAAAAATCACGTTTAGCAGATGCTGGTTGACGTACGTTAGTGTTTGGCGCCTCCTGGTGCATACACTGTTCACACAGACTTATTGTCAATGAAGAGGGGCACACATAAATCGCGGCATATTCGCGTAGTTTTTAACCTCTTCGGATATATTTGGAAGAGTTAATACAACGTGTAAATCTAAAGTGATAGTTCCATTCCGCTATCCCACCGAGGGGAACCCGTTTGGCCCTTTTTGTTCTACCCGACAGCTCTAATTTCATCTACCTCAACTGTGTGTGATGTGTCGTGTAGTGTAGCTGAGATGTAACTGTACCAAAGATCCCATCCATTCAGGGAGCGTCTGTGCGTTACTAAGTTTTTATAGCCAAATGTGCTGGAATCAATCCGTGAACACAACTAAATCACATCCCTACCTGCAGGCAGAGAGAACCTTGTTTGTGTGTTGAGCGTGTGTGTGTGTGTGTGTGTGTGTGTGCGTGCGTGCGTGAGAGAGAGAGAGAAAGAGCGATTGAAGAACAATTTATCAATTTAAAGACCAAATGGGAATGACAATCGGAGCAAGAAAGGGGATCTTGCTGATCTTATGATTGCTTATCCCTCCAAAAAGAAAAAAAAGAACCAAAGTGTTACCATGTAAAAGTGAAGATAGACAAAAATAAATGTTAAATATGTTTGTCTCTACAAATATGATGCAAGTATGTTCTAGCTGTATCATATGAATCACCCAAAAAATATCTAATTTTAGTAAACCTGATTGGATCACAACATAGGCTGACAGAATTCACTCTCAATGCTTTTCTTTCTTTTTTGCATCTGGAGATCCATTTATTGACAGTTCAGATAAGCAGACTGAAAAGGTAGCAAGTGTTTTCTTTTTTCTTTTACCTATCACTCATCTGAAATCTCTTTCTGCTGGTGTATCATCCGTGTCATTTTATGCCATTCTCTCCCTTGTGTTACCTTATGAATGTGGCTAATCAACCAAAGGTGTAAAAATCACAGCAATCTAAATGTCAATCATAACTGGACATTGTGTGCTGATCTTGAGAAATCCTTTAATACCTCATGTGAAACTGTTTGTTGTGATGTTGCACTGAATTAAACCAAGTCATTTGTAAACATAATGAATAGAGTGAAAGCATATTTCATTTAAAGCATCAGAAATAGGAAAAGAAAACATTTAAAATTCATTATTTATTTAGTAAGATACTCATTCGATAAGATTTGGGATTTTGTTTTAAAGAACATGTAAAAACAACAACAAAAAAACACATTTAATGTTAAGAAAGTAGATATTTTTGATATATTCATATATTTCAACAGGGTTTCATTTACATAACCGGGTAGCAGGCATATGAGGCGATGCCACACATGTTGTTTTGGTTTCTGGCCATACGGATGTAGCCACCATCTCCAAATGGAGTACCCCAACTGTCAAAGCAAAAGCAAACAATCAGCATCTGCATTTAGGCAGGGTTTCACAGACAGGGCCTAGATTATGCCTTAGACTTGTATAAACATGCCTTAGAAAATAACATGACTGGTTTGCTTTTTGCCATTGTGACATTATATGCCGTGATATATCAGAGCAAGTTGCTTTCAGTTAAAACAGCTCAAACATGCCTTTTAGTCTTGGACTAGCTTAAGCCTGGTCTGTGAAACCAAGGGAAAATGTTTTGTCGTGTTTTGCTTTTACAAGACTTTGTTTTGAAACTCCTCTATTTCCACCCACCCCTACCCCCCTCCTCCAAAAAAGACCCAGTCAGGTTATGCCAACAAAATTTCACAATCATTCTGATTGCACCTGTTTTTGAGCAGCCAATAGTCCTGCCCTTCAAGTGCACCGTATCCCACAGCCAGCACTGCGTGGTTTATATGTTGGGTGCAGGATGGATCATTGTAAACTCCTGTGGACAGATATGAGATAATATCATAATAGTTTCTTAGAAAAAGAAAAAGAATTTCGACCTTCAATTTCCAACTTAAAAACCTAATCTGGTAATCGCTATGACTGAAATGTGTAGAAAAGAAATACTCACCACTGTGATAAAATATAAACTTAGGGTGGGTGGCATCAATAGCCACTGAAATCGGCCCGACACTGGCCAAAGCCTCCTTCAAGGCCTCTTCATCTCCCTGATGGACAGAATAGTACTTGGTGCAGTTTGCTGCACGCTGGGAAGGATTGTATCTGCACTGCCCTTGCTGTAGGACACATTTATTTATTAGATTATACTCATAATGATAATGATGATGGATTGCAGCTTTTAAATAATGTACCAAACACTAACAAATCCAGTGATGTAGAGACCTGATATATATTGCTAAAATTTTACAGCAACCGTTCTAGTCACTTCTAGTATGGATTGTTTTTTCATATTCATTCTTCTGTAATTATCACTTGTTTTTTCTTCACTTGGACCCACACAAACAACTTACCACTGCTTCATAAGGGTAAGATGAATCTGAATCTATTCCGCCATTATCAATGACGTACTGGAAAGCCTGGTCCATATAACCACCATTGCAGCCCATGTTTCCATATCTGGAGGAACAGTCCACCAGGTTCTGAGGGCTGAGGTCGACCAGCTTCCCTGTGGTCTTCATCAGATGACCTTCAAGAGCCCCAGCAGAGCTGAACGCCCAACAAGAGCCACATGCACCCTGACAGCAGAGAAAACCGTGATAAAACGACTAAAACAGGAAACACATGACCTGATGACCTGCATTTTAGGTTGGATTCATGGGAAATACTACAATGTGAAACTTGACATTTTTAAAATTGCTTTTGTCTCGTCTATCAAAAGAAACAAAATGAAAAGCTATGTAGACACAAATCTAAATGACTAAATATCAGATAGTATTATCTCAAAATGTATGGTATAATACCTGGTTCTTCACACTGGAGACATATCCCTTCTCTCTCCAGTCAAGAGAGTCTGGGATAGGAGCCCCAGAAGAGCCCACGAATGTCGCTGTTTGCCTCTTAAAGTCAGGAGGAACACGAGTCGTGGCTAATGTTTGCAGGATTTCCTCTGTTGTCTGTGATTCAACATGACAAACAGAGAATTGTGAGTTACAGATGATCAATTTGTTGCTTGCTTTGCAGAGCATTTAGCCTATGCAGCCTTCAGAGGCTGGGTACATGGTGGCAATAAAGGGATGGACATGGTCAGAAACAATGCTCAGGTAGGCCGTGGCATTTAAACAATGCCCAATTGGCACTAATGGGCCTAAAGTGTGCCAAGAAATTTCAGCTAAGTTGCTCTTCAATCAGCTTGAATCAGTCGGCCGATTCTCCTCTGACCTCTAGCATCAACAAGGCATTTTCACCCACAGGACTTCCACATACTGGATGTTTTTCCCTTTTCACACCATTCTTTGTAAACCCTAGAAATGATTGTGTGTGAGTAACTGAGCAGATTGTGAAATACTCAGACAGGTCCGCCTGGCACCAACAACCATGTCACGCTCAAAATTGCTTAAATCACCTTTCTTTCCCATTCTGACATTCAGTTTGGAGTTCAGGAGATTGTCTTGACGAGGATCACGCCCCTAAATGACCAATAAATGGCTGATAAACTGGTATGTGGTGGGCGCTGTGGCGCACTATGACTGCCATCGCATCATCCAGGTGGGATGACCCCCCCCCCCATATGTAAAGCGCTTTAAGTACCCCAAAAAAAACACTATATAAATGTCACTAATTATTATTATTATGCTTATCTTTATGACTGTATAAAATCTAGACAAATTAGATCAAGAACTTATTGCAAGTAAAACATAACGAAAAATTACATTAACTGTATTGTATTCGGATGATGTATATTGTTCTCTAATATAGTAAACAATGTTCAAATCATGCAAATGTATTGCATGCCAGGAGATTTTTGTCTGACAGAAATCATGAACAAAAAGACAAGGCAAAAAGTTTAATTGGACTCATGTTCTCACCAGGTCACCCATGTGGTTCATGGCCAGGTCATATGAATGCATGCCCATGGAGGCCTCCAGGTTATGAAGGGTGATAAGTTCAAGATTTTTCTCCCACAACTCCCTCCTGCCGAGGTCCTCAAACTGCCAATATGAACAAAAGATGATTCAACATTTTAATGCAGCAAGATATTAAACTACTTACATCACTTGTCAAAACTATTTATAACTATTTATTAACTATAAGTCTCACATGAATGCAAATAAATTATCTATCAAAAATGCCCATGAAACAAGCTTTACCAGTTTGATGGGTAACAAGGAAGAGTTTTGTTTTCCTCACTGAACATTGATAAACAAAATACGATACTAGCAGTGGGCAAAAGATCAGCTGTGATAGATGCTTATGAGGCTCATGTTCTCACCTCGGTGGAGTAAAACTTGTCATGAGTCTTCTTCCACAACTCCCAGTGCTGGTCTAGATTCGAGTTGAATTGGGCCAGTGCTGCGCTACAACACACGGCAAACAGCAAGCTCCCGAACATCATGGCCTGACAAGAGCAAAACGGTCCATGAAAGTAACTGGCATGCATTAAAGGTGCAATGTAAAATATTTTTGAAGATCTATTGACAGAAATGCAATATAAGATCCAGTGGCGACTGCTGGTCTTTCAAAGAGGGGAAGCTCTTTTTTTAAAACTCAACTGTCAGGTGTGGGGATGGTGAAAGGCGCGAAGACAGAGTTGATGGGCTTTATTTTAATAATAAAATAAAACAAAATACAAACAAAAACTACAAACCAGCACAGGACTGCAAAGACAAGGAGAAAACAAGGCAGGTAACAAGGCAGAATAATCAGAAAACAAGATGGGAGACACAATCGACAGGTGAGCAGATGACACAAAAAAACACACATGACAAGCCATGCTCTCACAACAAACATGACAAAAAACTGCATACGGCCAGTAAAACAAATCACAAGCAATGTGACATGAAGAACAATGAGAACACTCATAAGCCACTTGTTCACACAGAACATGACAACATCATGAAAGCACACATCTAAAACAAGATGTGTGCTACACATTGACAGTAAAAGAAAAAGACATAGCAATCCCATTGATTTTAACGGAGAAGACTGAAGCCCGATTATTGCACTTCCTGCCTTGTTCCTGCCTAAACGCATTGTTTACACAGAGATTTAGGAAGTTTTACCTTTCACTAAACATATTTAGATATATGGGAAATCGCAATGGAAGACGATTTCGATATATCTAAATATGTTTAGTGAAAGGTAAAACTTCCGAAATCTCCGTGTAAAAAATGCGTGACGTAGACGCACGAGAGATCACTTCCGGCGTAACGTCTGGACGGTTCAGTCCGGTTCAGTTGGACATCTGATTCAGATCAGTTCGACGGCTGTTAACAAGGTAAAAACTATATAAATACTGTTCGTTTTCTCACACAAACCGCTCGTTTCGTGTCTTAGGCCATCAGTGTGTACTTACATTTACGAGTCATTAAATCATGTTTAATTTTGACTTCTCTTTGCATGCTCTTTGAGGTGAACCGAGGGAGGACCCCCTTAACCTCCAGTGTATGACTGACAGACAACACCGGTTTGACCAAAAAATGTCAAAATTGAAAATGCTGCATGTGGAAACAAAGACACCTACATCTTGGATGCCCTTGAGGTAAGCTAAAACATATCAAAAATTAATTTCAAAGTGAACTATCCCTTTAAGGATTATAAGTACATACTATGATATTATTCAATGGTATAAAAATAAGTCTCTTTAATGAAATATTGTATCTATTAAATTAAGTATTATATATATATATATATATATATAGATCTTTCTATTCACCGAATAATTCTGAAAAAAAAAAACATTCAACATTAATAATAGCTACATTTTTCTTGAGCATTTCTGATTTCTGAAGGATCATGTGACACTGAAGACTGTTGAGTAATGACTGCTAAAAAATACCGCTTTGTATCACATAAATAAATTACATTTAAAAACATATTACAATAGTAAAAGATAAATTAAACTGTAATAAATTGTAATATTTCACAATCACGCAATTACTATTTTTGTTATTAATAATGCTGTATTGGTGATCTTAACAGTTTTCTTTCAAAAACATTAAAAAAATCTTACCAATCTTTTGAACAGTAATATTTACATACATACAGATATCTATGGAGTGAAACACACCTGAGTTTTCTATAAAGGAATCAAATCCATGCAACATTTAACTCTCTATACAGACATGGTCAATACATTAAAACTGAAAGAGAAACCTTTTGAGAAAAACTATCAGAGAGGAAGATACGATACAAAATATATAGGCTACATATTAAAACGACACATAAAAGTGAAGAAGAAATTAACTCCGACGTGTCTCGTCTTACCTGTGCACTCTCGTCTCGTTAAGCTAGACTTCTTCGTCGTCAGTAGAGGAAGTGATAATGAAATGGATTTCCTGGTAGTTACATTGCATTTATTTAGTTCCATCACGTGCTAATCTCTGTCCATTGTCATGTGGCAGTCTTAATTTTTGCTTACCCCTGTTACATGACTAAAAAAAATCGATTTAACTCAAAGGAAAAAAGATATTGTTGTTGGATCACCACATGGGCTAGCAGAATTCGCTCTCCCCGGAAAACCATAGGCTACATATTTGCCATCTTGAGATAGTTGAGATTAGACAAATGAAAAGGTAGTTTGAAAAGAGATTTGTTTCAACTAATCTAAAATATCATTAACTGATGTCTAGTTAAGTCAAGCTTTTCTCTAAATCCATTGATTCCGGCCATTTAACAAACCAATTCGTATAAATTGATATACAAATCGTCTTGCAGATTTGTTTCTGAATAACATCGGAAATTACACATCAATTAGTGATGTAAACTAATATCGCTAAAACATTAGACATACACTATTATCATTTTTGAGGCGGTCTGAACAGCCATAAGCAAATTAAATGTAGGTGCAATACCACCATCTGGTGGTGAACTCAGCATCAACAAGTCAAAACATTCCAAACTTGTACAGTAAAACATTGAGACATGCTAGTGGGTAAGTTGCACACTTTAATTTATGATTTCGGCCTTTTACATAATTATTAAGCAATATATCTCTGGATCAAATGCGCAACTTACCCACTGAGACAAATAGGTCTCATTAAAGTCACCATGAAATCAAAATGGACAATTTTAGTTTATACAATTGTGCAGTATTTATCAGTGATAGCATGAGGTAACAGCAATAACAAACCACAAAGATCCAGTCATGAAGAAAACATTTAATAACTCTCAAGTTAAACTATTGTGATGTTCCACTGACCATTTGTAAAACATACTGAATGAAGGTACATTCTTTTAAAGCAAGCCAGAAAACATTAAAAATTCTATATTTATTTTATAAAAGATATAAATTTGTTTATATAAAAAGGAAATAAAAATGAACACATTTACATACAAGAAATTAGACTATAAAACAGTAAATATCTTATTTGATAGGTTCACACATTTCAACAGGGTTTCAGTTAGATAACCGGGAAGCAGGCGTATGAGGCGATGCCACACATGTTATTCTGGTTTCTGGCCATACGGATATAGCCACCATCTCCAAATCTGGTACCCCAACTGTTAAAAGAAAACAATAAGTATCTGCATTTCTTCCTTTCAATGTTTTGACAAAGACGGTCTGCTTTTACAAAAATGTCTCTCATTAGTGGGTACATTTCCAAAATGAGACCATTTATAAATCACAAACCTTCAATGATTCTGATTATACCTGTTTTTGACCAGCCAATAGTCCTTTCCAGCAATCGAACCGTATCCCACAGCCAGCACTGCGTGGTTTACTTTTTTGGTACAGGTAGGGTCATTGTAAACTCCTGCGGACAGATGTGAGATAACATCACAGCCCTGACAACAAGAATTTGAACTGAAAATAAAAATATATATATTTACCACTGCGGTACAGTATAAACTGAGGACGGGTGGCATCAATGGCCACTGAAATCGGCCCGACACTGGCCAAAGCCTCCTTCAAGGCCTCTTCATCTCCCTGACGGACGAAATAGTACTTGGTGCAGTTTGCTGCATGCTGGGATGGATTGTATCTGCACTGCCCTTGCTGTAGGACACATTTATTTATTACATTACACATTAGACCTATAAATGACAATGGATTACAATATTGCATGCTCCAACAAAATAAATCCAGCAATGTAGAGACTGTAAATGTATGGATCAGAATCTGTGGTAACAGGCCCTGTCAATTCAAATACGCAACCAAACATTTGTGTGCTTAACGTTTCTTCAAGTGTAATTATTAGATGACATTTAATTAGATGTAAATTGTTCTTCATGTGGATCCACACAAACAACTTACCACTCCTTCATAAGGGTAAGATGAATCGGAGTCTATTCCACCATTATCAATGACATACTGGAAAGCAGCACTCATGAAACCACCACCGCAGCCCTTGTTTCCATATCTGGAGGAACAGTCCACCAGGTTCTGAGGACTGAGGTCGACCAGCTTCCCTGTGGTCTTCATCAGCTGACCTTCAAGAGCCCCAACAGAGCTGAACGCCCAACAAGAGCCACATGCACCCTGACAGCAGAGAGAAAAACATGATAAAACGACTAAAACAGGAAACATCGTTCTGACAATGCATTTAGTTGATGATTTTTGAATTTCCAACTCACTGCAGGGAAGTTACAAAAAAAAAAAAAAAGGGAAATAAATGTCCTCAGACACTGACAGGACAATAAGAAAAACAAAGGAAGTGAAACTTTTTTTTTGTATGTATGCATGTTCTCTGAGAGAATGGGGCCAATTCATTTGACATCATGAGCAATAGCTAAACCACAATCAATGTCTCAGCAATTTTCCCAGGGTTGTGTACCGAAACCCGGTGCCAATATGTAACAGGTACCCATGTAACCTATATGTTACCGGACCAAATCAAAGACGTATATTTGGTTCCACTTAAAGGAGAACTCCGGCGAACAATGAACCTTTGGTCTAATAAAACATCGGTACATCAACCGTTCTCTGAGATTTGTTTTCATGATAATCGAATGTAAAGAGTTTTATCTCTAAAAACTGTTTAGCGTATAATGCTAGTAATGGGGGCATTGACTAAGTAAAAAGAAATCGCTATTTTATACCACTAACAAGGCTCAAAATAGCCCCACACAAACACAGTAACATAATGAGGCTCCAGACATACAAAACGAAGCATTGAGAACTTTGTAAGTGTACAGACCGTTTAATAAGAAGATACTTTATGAAGACAGTTCACTTCGCGTATACAGACAGGAGCCATCTTAAAAAAATAGTCTCGATAAGTCAAACCACGAACGTCGTGCTGAGTGATCTGAACTCTATTATGAAGTTCAACGAACTTCTGAACTGTATGAACGGCGTTCGGGGATCGACTTATCGAGACCATTTCCTAAGATGGCTCCTGTCTGTATACGCGAAGTGAACTGTCTTCATAAAATATCTTCTTATTAAATGGTCGGTACACTTACAAAGTTCTCAATGCTTCGTTTTGCATGTGTGGAGCCTCATTATGTTACTGTGTTAGTGTGGGGCTATTTTGAGCCTTGTTAGGTGTATAAACTAGCGATTTCTTTTTACTTACTCAATGCCCCCATTACTAGCATTATACGATTAACAGTTTTTAGAGATAAAACTCTTTACATTCGATTATCATGAAAACAAAACTCAGAGAACGATTGACTAGGTACCGATGTTTTATTAGACCAAAGGTTCATTGTTCGCTGGAGTTCTCCTTTAAATGCCTGAGCTGTCGATTGAAACATTTGCCTTCTGGTTCTACCAAACGGATCACCGAATCATCACTAGTTACTCCTTTGAGTGTGCGATCGATCACACTGGTGTGATTAGAACGTTCAGATCGTGTGATGTAAAATTCAAATGTGCTTTCATGGTGAGTAAAATACACACTGATGTGATTAGGTGGCTTAGGTCATGTAAATTTGTTGTGTTTTGTATTTAGGCTACTAATATTTATAAATGTAAATATACCTTTTAAAATAATGTATATACGTATATCATTTTTCAATAAAGCATTCTTTAATGTCAATCACCATCATTTTAAGGCTCTTTGTTTTTTAAAAGGGTCCCCATTATGTATTTTTGAAAATGACCTTTCATGTAGTGCAGGGGTGCCCAACCCTGCTCCTGCCAATGGACTGTACTGCACAGTTCATCTCCAACTCTAATCAAACACACCTGCCTGTAATTTTCAAGTGATCCTGAATAGCTTAATTGGTTCCTTCAGGTGTGTTTGATTAGGGTTGAAGATAAACTGTGCAGGACAGTCGATCGGCAGGAGCAGGGCTGGGCACACATGATGTAGTGTGTAACAGATCTAAGTGAATGAAAACATCCTGCAAAGTTTTAAATCTGAAAGCGCACCGTAAAGTTATTGTTTTTCAAAAGAAAGAGTCAACTCTGAATCAATGAAATGAATCGTTTTTAAAATGAGTCAAAAACCACTTTGTTGTGATGTCAAGATGAAACATTAGCATACTGCCCGCCCACTTTTGCACATGTAGACACCAGGGAAAATTTGAACGCGGATTCCTGTGGATGCTGGACAGCATCATGTCGAGAAGACGCTGTGCTCTACAATGTGAAGGTAAAGCCAGGTTTATTTTTTTCACGGCCCAAGGATGAGCATGTGAAATCCGTTGTTAAAATTCATTTTTACCATGATTCCACAACAGTATAACAGTGTTCCCTTTATTTTACTTATGACTGCTTCTCAAATCTCAGAGTTCGATGCAGGATTCGCAAACCGCTTGCTTTTGAAAGATGGTGGTGTTCAAAATACATAGTTTTGAGTTTTATATTGCATAGATCTTCTGTTAACTGGTTAACTCGCATTACTGTCTTACTGAAATACTTCTGCCGGTCAGCTGTGGGACGCCATTACCTAAAACTGTGTCTATTAATGCATATTTTCTGTTCTCACTACTTTGAGGAAAGATTAAAGCCCAATTTATACTTCTGCGTTGACCTCCAGTCGTAGGCTGTGTGTAGCGCGCGTACCCTGACGTGTCATACACCTCTCCAAAAACATAACAACGCATCAATTCTACGTGTACTTCAAATGCTGTGATTGGTCTGCTAGAACCGCTCCCCGGGTTCCACATGCTCCCTCTGCATGCATCAGTCATTCACACTAGAGCTTGGCTAATGCATACATTGATTGCATACATGCACTGTTATTGATAAAGATTGTAAAGAAATTAGAACAAGTAAAATAATTGGTTTGTTAATGAAGATTGTTACTTGTTAACGCCAAATCTGATGGTGAGGAATTACAGTTGCAAAATCTCATAATGTGCCTCAAACTGAGTAGAGCATCACTGAGATATGCCCTGCTCAAGTCGTCCTTGCGATGGAGGTTCAAGTTGAATAACTAGTTCTTCCAGGGTTTTTATTATTGGACTCGTGCTCGGATTGA